CGTGCACAWTGAGTTTCTATATGGATATCTCATTAGAATGGACTTGAGTTGTTTTTTTTATGACTCTTATTGGTTGAGCTTACAGTAGAATACAACAGAAATTGAAAATTTAGTGTAGCATGTGGCAAATACTTGGGGTTTGTATTCATAGCTCAAAAAATGGCTTTGTGAAAACTTCTGAAAGTATTATTAACATGAGGTTGCTTTGTTACTTGGATTTTCCTYCTAATTTTCTTTCCTTTGATCTCTGTTTCTCTTTCACAAGCAGGAGCAACCGTCAGGGTAACAGGTATCTGACTATTTACCAATCTTGTATGTGGTCTCCATCTATTCAAGCAGAAAAGATGTATGAATGTTGTTTTCATACATCTGCAGTCCCATCCCTGTTAAAAACCACTTGTCTGCATTCATGGATTGACAAAACCATAGTTTGCTTTTTCCTTTCATAATGCATWTAAAAATGAGACTGCATTTATTAGTGCCAGAGTAAATATTTTGTGTCATCTTTTATGAAACAATTGGACCTTCACCTTTGTTGCTTAGTCACTGCTGAATCTCCTGGTCTCGGTCTGTTCAGGGAAAAAAAGATCAGTGTTGGCAATAAATGTTTTCTTTAATGCAAATAAATCCCAATGCAATTGCACTGTCAGTTTTTTTTTTTTTCAAAATGAGCCCCATATTTCGCATTTCTCAAGGAACAGAGAACCTACTATGACCCAAAGTAAAATAAACTGTTACAATTCTAAAAGCACTTGGTTTCAGAATTTCTCAGAGCATATTTTTTACCTAGAATAAGGAGCAATTTGGATTCATCGTTTCTTTGGGATCTTGTATTGTTAAATGACAACAAGACTTAATGAGCTGGTGCCAGGCTGCATTTGATTTCTATTCCTTCTACACTTCAGTTTTTCAGAATTTCCCTGAAGTTACTCAGTGCCTTTGTTTTAATATTATTCTGCATATACATATATATAAATACTACTCTTCAGCTGCAGACAGCCAAATCAACAGTTCGGGTGTAATAAGTTTATCTGTTAAAATCATAAAATCTTTTTGTGACATTTGAATTCTTAGACGCAGTTTAAATTCACTTGGTAAGGGGAAGCTCCAGACTCTGTTCTGTCAGTGTACATACTGACCAAAGTAGGTACTCCACCTTTTTGGACAGTTCATACAAGGTAAAAAAGTTGCACTGTTGTTTGAAGCAATGTATAAAACCAGGAATATTTTGGTTTTAAAAGCTGAGAAATTCTGTGGAGAAAACTGTCTCGTCCAAGGGTAACTTGTCATTTTAATTATAAAACCAGTGATTGTCCCTTTCCATGCCAAGAAGTACTGGAGATGCCTATGGATGCCTGTCTACACAGAAATGTCTGACTGCGTATACTAATGCCACTAACGTTTCCTTTTATTGTTGTGCTTTAATGCTGCTTGTAACATCAATGTGATAAACTCCCAAACAATATAACCTGGAGCTTTTCATTTCATAGTCGTGCTGGGCTATCCCTATCCTTCTGTTTGGAATACAGTAGCATTTCCCAAACATCATCCTATCCAACGTTTGCTTAGTGCTTTTTGCTGGGATTGTGATGTGCAGAAAGTAGGTTCCAGCTGCATCAACCACCGAGGGGGGGAGTGGTGTTTTACAACTTAGAGGCTTTTTGTTAGAGAAGGGGGGGCTCAGGCTGTTGTTTCCATTCAAGTTAAAACAAAATTGGGCTAAAGTTTCATCTGAGGAGTGAGAAAGGGGGAGGTAGGAATAACCTGAAACTGTGATTCCTGAGCACGTTGTTTACTTTGCAGCTGAATCCCAAAAGGATGTACGGCACTAACCCTGAAACCCAGCTCAACAGTGACCCTTTTGAAGACCTGTCATTTCAGCTGCTCGTGTCCAAGATGCAGACATCTGTCCGAACATCACCTGCTCCAACCCTAAACCAAAAGGAGTTGATCCAGTTGCCTTCAGCAACTCAAAGAAATGCTGATAATTCGAATACTGTAAGTTGCATGCCAGCAAYGCCTCTTATTCCAACCTTTCACTCATCCCAGGAACATCAGCACAGCTCTCCAAATCCATTTATTACTGGGCTGAACTGCTCAAATCCATTCACTGAAAGAACTCCTAATGCTGGAAACCCATTTAGGATGGAAACACGTGAGTCTGGGGTAACCTCACAGGTTCTGGTGGGACCTGCTGCTTCCCACCCATTCCCTCCTCTGCCCGCCCCCAGCTGTAACACAAGCAAGCCTCCATTTACCGTGGGTGCAGCTGAAAACGTGTTCTGCTTGCAAAGTAAATCTTTCAAGGTAGAAAGTATACAGCCCAAAGGGTGGGTGACGTTTGATGAGGATGAGAACTTCAACGTGAAACTAAGGCCATCCGTGAGTGTTCCGGATTTTAAACAGCTCGGCTCTGAGAAATCAGGTTTGGGAACTGAACAAAAGACTTTCTTTGGTTCAGACTTTAACTTTGATGGTGACTGGAATAAAAGTTCTACTGATTGCTTCTGTACAATGCCAGCGAGAAAACCACCTGCACCCCCCATACCATCCAGAGCAACCAGCAACAGGTCCCCTGCAGATCCCTCCCCCTGCCCGGCACCCAAGGTGTCACCGAGTCATGATTTTACAGAAAGATAGATGGTCAGAAATCCAAGAGGTTATATTTGTTGCTTCATTTATCCAGTAGAATAATTGGGCATTTGAGATTATTCTGTGTGCAATAATTAATAATTAAATGCACTGAAACTTAACTCTGCTCATAAACAGCCACTACTGCTTGTGTATAAATTTTGAATGTGTATATATGGTAGAGCACAAAAAATTGCCTGAAGTTTATTAAAATCCCAATATAATAGTATTTGAATAGACAAAAAGAGAAGAAGGGTGAGCTACTGTCTCACTAAAATCTAGCAATCCTGGACACAGATTTTGCTTAGGGAGCTCTTTCATTTCTGTTCCTCTTTGTGGAATTTCACAAGAAGAGGCTCCCTGCTGGTAGCCTCCCCCACCTCCTTTTTGACTGTTTTGTTAGTTGATATTTGTAAGTCTTTACCAAAGAGCTGCCAAAGTGTATTGAGATTTGAATGTTGACAAGTACTGTTTAGAAGCTGTTTAATTTATAACAGAGGCTATGGATATTTGTAAGACTTWTATTTGAATTTGAGGCACAACAAAAATAGTTTACTTTCAAAATACAAACAAAACTTTGCATATTAATATATTCAATTAATCTCCTATGTCAGTACATTTCAATTACTAAATCCTGTTGTGACATACACTCGCTAGCACTAATTCAAAATAACTGTTCCATATCATCCGTTTATTCATTACTATTTCATTACTATTTTAACTATACTTCTTTCCACAAATTGGAAACAGCTGATACAGCAAGCTTTTCCTCAACCTCTGGAAAAAGTCCCCTTGGCTTTTGAGATAAAAAGCAGTATTTACCAGTTGCAAACTATGTAGTCTGCCAGCTAGGGGGTGAAACAACACGCTTGGATTGCATTTAGAGTGGCAAAATAGCCCAGGGCAGCACCCTTTTTAAATCCTCAAATGCTCTCAAACCATGATCCATGAAATAAGCTGCTATTCCTTCGGACAGCCCCTGGTTAGCCACGAGCTGCAGCTGCCTAGAGGAGTGATAGTGAGTTTTCTATTGCGCTTTTTTCTGTTCAGGTCATTCAAGTCGTACATTTGGAACAGCAGTGGTACTACTTGTGCTTTGGTGTGTGAGTTACATTGTTTTACGCTGTTGCTGCAGACATCTGTGTGGTTGATGTTTTGGTATATTCTTGTATTAGCAAACCAAATTTGGGGGGGAACTTTTGCTAGTGGGAGTCACGTGATAAATATGTTGTCCAATATTTAATTGCAGTGATTAAAAACTATCTGTCTGAACTGTACCTGGCGTGCGGTACCTCTGCACTTCACAGGACTGGGGGGCCACAGGGAATGCTCCAGAATTCCCGTGTCTGTATAAATGCACATATATATATATATATGTGTGTGTGTGTGTGTGTGTGTGTGTGTGAGCTGTAGTAAGGCCCCAGCCATTGTTGAGGGGGGCAATGAGCAACAGCAGAAGCTCTGAAAACACATAGGATGCAGGTGGAACCCACTCCCCGTATGTCCCTTGATTCTGGTCCCGGTGTTCCTGCTCACTGTCCGTGGCTGTATCCCCCGGGACACCCAGGAATCCATGGAATAAACATTCCCAYCCTTATCATCGGGGCGGGTTCTCTCTCTGTGCCCCCTGTGTTATCAAATCCTCAGAAATCATCAGGATCAATAAAAGCTTTTAAGAGCATCTTGGTGTCAGTGAATCAGGTATTACTTCATTCTTGGCTGGGGATGTGTGGCTGATGAAATTCCAGCCTCCACACAGACACGGATGCAGAACTTTGTCACTCATTTATACACTTTTAGTAAACAAAGAAATTCATGGTCATTGGTTCTAAATTACAGTTATATTTCATTAATTAGCATTCCGTCCTCAACTGGTTATTGATTTCTCACTTCGTATGCTAATTAGTCCGTATTTTTAGTCWGTCTTTCCCTTTAGTAGAGAATTGCAAACGCATATACTGAGTCTTTGGCTGGTGGTTGCTGCAGAGTGGCCTGGTGATCCATAAATTCTGCATTCCAGATGTCCAASCTCACCACTCCCTCTTTCTGTCCCGGGCTTTGTTCATTGGAGCATATCCGAGTTAGTTCATCGAAACTGAGTGTTTCAGTACTTCTCCCAAGRTGTTTCCACAAAAGCAGCTTATGACAACTTTGCTGAATGCTGGCTGAGAGTAATTTAAGAATACTGCACTATTTTTTAATTTGTATACATACAGGCTAGGATTCATTAAAACACTTTATTTAAAAGGTGATTAAAGTCCTCAACTCCGYCAGTTACTCAGCGGTTCTGCCGTTTCCGGTACCGGGAAACGCGCGGGCCCTGTCACGGGGTGGCCGGAAGCGGAAGCGGCGGCGGGAGCGGCGGGGGCGGAGGCGCCGCTGAGGCGGGAGCGGCGGAGGCGCCGCTGAGGCGGTTCCGGAGGGTGCCGGCGGATCGCGAGGGATCGCGAGGGATCCCGGTGCTGCCAGCGGGGGCGGCAGCGGCCGCGCTGCGCTCTCAGGGCGTCCCGAAGCGCCGGCGGCGGCCAGTCCCTCCCTGCCGCCGGTATCCAGGGACGCGGCTCCGTTGCTGAGGGGGCCCCCGGCCCGGTCATGGTGCGGCTGCACGTCAAGCGCGGCGGCGAGAGCCAGTTTCTGCTGGAGGCGCCGGGCAGCGCCCGCCTGGCCGAGCTGGCGCCGCTCGCCGCCCGCATCCACAACGGGCGGCTGAAGGTGCAGCGCCTGTGCTTAGGTACCGCCTGAGGGGAACCACCCGGGCGGCGGGAATGCGCCGCAGCCGCGTGTGAATGCACGACTTTGGTGTTTTAGTGGAGATCCTGCACAGCGCTGCAAACTAACTCTCCCGCTGCGTGTGCCGGTAGTGGTTGCTTCAGTCGGGGAATGGCAGAATGCTTTGGTCTGGGAGTGACCTTAAAGTTCGTGCAATTCCASCCCCTGCCGTGGGCAGGGACACCTTCCACTGTCCCAGAGTGCTCCAAGCCCTGTCCAACCTGCCCTGGAGCACTGCCAGGGATCCAGGGGCAGCCACAGCTTCTCTGGGCACCCTGTGCCAGGGCCTGCGCACCCTCGCACGGAAGAATTTCTCCTCAGTATGCCGTCTGGCCCTGCCGTCTGGCAGTTTGAAGCCATTCCCCCTTGTCCTGTCACTCCAGGCCCTTGTCTGAAGTCCTCCTTCAGGCACTGGGAAGTACTCCCTTGTGACCAGCAGTGCCCCTATGTGTGTGTGAGTTGTATGGACCACCACGTGCATCCTCTGCCGTGCAATGGTGTCAGTGATGTGTCTGAATTAGTGCTGAATTCACTTCCGAGGCAGCTTTAAAAAACATTTCCTGCCCCACCGTGTGGCTGCCCTCAGACGAGTCTGACCTGGGGGTGCAGCCCACCCGCACCTGCTGTGGTGTTTGTGGGGTGTCTGAGGCCATAAGGAGGCTGCTCTGAAATTTTAAAAATCTGACTAGGGAAATACCAAAAAGCGAAGGTTTTTGGCCACTAAGTATCATTCAGGCTTTCATCTCTGTATGTGTCATTTGTTGTTTCACGTGTATGTGAAATGTATAAATGTCAACGTAATTACAGCACCCATATATATGTATCTGTGTTTATATTCCTTATTTATTTGCTTTCCTTGCCTGTTTAAAAGCTGAAAGCTAGRGGCCAGATTTATCCTCATGTACATTCATGTGAAAGGCTTTAGTGAATGGACTGTAATAACAGAGACTTTAAATCTTGTTCTCTAAACACTCTTAAAGAGATGGAGGACCTGGCAGAGCATGGTATTTCTTTACCTTACAATATGCAAGGACTGRCAGATGAGCAAATCGAAGAGCTGAAGTTAAAGGATGAGTGGGCAGAGAAGTGTGTCCCAAGTGGTGGAAGCGTCTTCAGGAAGGATGAAATGGGGCGAAGGAATGGATTTGGTAAGTCAAATGTATATGCTTGTTTCTTTCCCTTCAGACACAGACAATCCATAATATAAAAAGGAGCCACGAATCCCTAATTCTGGAATGAGATAGCCAAACTGCCAGTTACACGGGAATTCAGTCCTGGGTTAGAATCTGGAGTAATGCTGGTTTACAAGCTTAAACAGCAGTATCTCTCTTCAGCAAATAAACAGTCACCAGGAGCAAGTTTGATTGTTCCAGTTTAGTTTACTCTCCCCATTTGTAAATGTATGCTTGAGAACTGGTTTTCTCTGGGGACTGCAACATACATTTACAGGTTGTTTTGCTAATATTTTTCCTTTTTTCTCATTGACTAGGACTCAAATTCACTGAGCATATGTTTGTAAGTGGGAGAACAGCCTTGAGCTATTGACCAAGTTAGTATATTCAACAGTGTGTACGTGTGAGCTAGATCAAATACCATCAAGTGATGCACTTAAGTGGGAAATAAGCTGAGAATGAGTATGCATTAGCTGGATTTTTGTTTTTGATGACAGGCTCTTTATAGCAATTAAAATAGATAASTGTGATATGAAGTGTAGACTGTATTTGCAAAACTACCTTTGCTGTTAGATTGAGATTTTTCMTTTGAGAAAAAAAGTCAGAAAACTGCAAGCTTGTGTGCCCAGTTAAAGTACGTCTGCCAGTACAGCCTGCAACAGTCCAGCAGGGAATGAACCTTAGTTTATATTGTGGAGGGTTTGGGATTGTGATTGTTGCTTTGTGCTGAATACCTTTGTCCCAAATAAAGTTCCAGGCCATAGAATTAGGGAATCACAGAATGGTTTGGGTTGGAAAGGACCTTAAAGCTCATCCAGTTCTACTCTTCTTGCCTTGGGTGAGGACACCTTCCACTATACCTTAGTCCTGTCCAGTCTGGCCTGGAACATTTCCAGGGATGGGGCAAATACCAGTCGCGTGTCTTTGGGGAAAAGTAAGTTTATTTGTTCTGTGCAAAGTACTTTTTGTTCCTTAAGTTAGTAAGAAATACAGGAATGAACTACCAACTGGTGAATAGGCTGCAGCTTAGTGGTTCTCTTGCTTTAKGATTGAATACTGTTTCATTTGCTCTCAGTGGAGTCTGGACAGGTTGTGTGTTTGGTTTCTTTACAGTAAGTGTAGACTGAAATATGTCTCTTACTTTTAGCTCCAAATGAAAAAATGCAGCAAGTTATAAAGAAGACAATAGAGGAAGCCAAGGCATTAATCTCTAAGGTAAGTTTTCCCAGTTGGTGTGTGGGGTTTTCCTAATAAGTAATGTGGAGTTGGGCATCATAAATAAAACCAGACTTTTTTCAGTGCAAGGGCTGACAGTTGAGAAATGCCATGAAGTGATGTGAATAGTCTGATAAAAGCTGACATTTCGATTAATGATTTTCTTCAAGACTTTTGGCAAGTGGTTCAACAGGTTAAGGAATCAGATACTGAATTCCAAGGGAATGCTGGCACCCAAGCCTGTGTGGAACAATTAAATCACATTCAGTTTTATCCATGCAGTTTGCTATTGATGTGTTCTTCGGGTGAATGCTTGTCAGGCTTTCTGGTGAAAAATTAACTGTGTTCTGTGCTGTTCTTGGAGTTAATGAAGTTTTTTGACTCTTATGTGGAATTAATTGAAAAATGTGATCTAATCTCTTAGATTATTACAGAATCAATCACAGATTCTTTGGCTTGGAAGGGATCTTAAAGTTCATCCAGTCCCACCCCCCTGCCATGGGCAAAGACACCTTGCACTAGACTAGGTTGCTCAGAGCTCAATCCAGCCTGGCCTTGAACACTTCCAGGGATGGGGCAGGGATTAGGCCTTGGTTTGACAAGCACTTGTCTCACGCTTAGTCCTGCTGAGTGTCTGCGTTCAAAGACAAGCTCGAGATTTGCCCTGATGGGATGGTGCTCTCAGGCATTCACGTTCACATTGTCAAATCTGTAGGTGCTCTGTGTTGTGTTTYGGCTTTTGTACGACTTTGAAACGCAAACTTAGTCATATTTGTGAATGGAGTTAAGGATCGTTTGGTTCACCGCTTTGTTTGGTTCACTGCTTTGTAATGACAAAAAACAAGAAATGTGCCTGAGAGGTTGTACTGGCCTTTTTACCTGATCAGGAATGTCCACGAGGAGGCAACGTTCCCTTGCTATAGAACTTAAGAAACCTAAATCCTTAAGAAACCTAGGGAAAGATTTTTATTTCTTTCCTTCCATGTGGAAGATGTGTCACATTTCTCCTTTATCCTTGCAGCAGAGTTTGGAATGTTCTCAAGTACTTCCATCTTACAGATCTCTGCATGAGCTGTGCAATTTGCTAAGCTTTGCACTTGTGCTCACATGTGCTCTATTTTTTTTCTCAAGTTTTAAGCCCCTTCTCTATCCCTCACTTGAATTATGCTGTCTTGAATAATGTCCATGAATCACAAGTGCTTGGAACCAAAGCATCCCTGTCTGATATCTGTGGTCATATGCGTCCTGATTTGAGTCCTGTGTTCCATAGGCAGTATCTCCTGCACAAGTGAAGATCTCATTTTTTTTGCTTCCTCACCCACCCCATGTAAGCAGGCTAAACAGAGGGGCCAAAGGTGAGAGATTTACTCCCAAGTCAGTGTGCCAGTGAAGAAATTTTCCCTCCTAATAGCTTCGTGCAGTCTGTTAGCTGTGCTCAGATATCCCATCACTGAGCCTTTGAATTGGCCACAAAGAAAAACCTTTCTGCAGGTTTGTTTAAATTGCCAGTGATCCCTGTCTGTATTTCAGAAACAAGTTCAGGCCAATGTGTGTGTTAACATGGACATGGTGAAAGATGCATTGGAGCAGCTCCGGGGGGCTGTGATGATTGTGTATCCAATGGGATTGCCTCCACATGATCCAATTCGGATGGAGTTTGAAGATAAAGAAGACTTGTCAGGAACTCATGTATGCAGTAATGTATTCCCATTATGTGTAGTCCCTCCATTGAGTATGGGCTATGCTGTTCTTCATCTTATGGGTGAAGGTTGTTTTCACCCRTATGAAATGGAGAATTTGTTGCCCAAAGTGTTTATATTAGATCAGGACTGAATGGAATATAAATAAAAATGCCATGGATGAGTGTGAGGAGAAAGATGTGGAAGTAGAGTGCAAAATTGCACTTTGTGTTAGGAATTCCAGAATGATTTTTTTTTTCTCCCAGAAAAGCAATCTGGTTTTGGGAAAAAAGCAAGAAACAACACCCCCCAGCTCTTCGCCTTGTTTGTTTTGTCACAGGCTGGAACTGAGGTTATAAAAGAGTCAGAAGCACAGCTGTGGTGGGCAGGAAAGCACTTGGAAGAAACAAAGTTGCTCTCCGACTACGTAGGCAAAAATGAGAAAACAACCATCATTGTCAAGATCCAGAAAGTGAGTATTGCTGGGAGATTTCTCTACAAGTTCCTCACCCTTGGTTGTCTATTCTCTGTGGAAGAGAACCATCCATAGGAGTATAAAATGGATTAGATTAATTCCAGCTTGAGCATCTTAAAACTGTRCATCTATTTTAAGTTTTGAATGTATTATACTCTTGAGTTTTTCATTATTCATTCCTTACCTTGTCAGTTCCATACTGTCGTTGCTATTACTTCCTCCATAGTATTTTTGTGAAGTACAACAAAGAGGTATTTAAGAATAGACCAAATACAAACTGAAAAGTTTTATGGCAAATCTTGTCACCTGCAGGTTCTGCAGTGTATCCCTGAGAGGTAAGTTGGTGATTTATGTGTTTGTTACTTAGAAGACCAGAATTACGTTTATCCTCTCAGGGTCACTGGAAAATGGTGTAGCACCTCAATAGCCACTGAAGTGTAGGCTCCCGGGAATGCTGTCTRATTGGCTGAAGGACCTGCTCAAAGAATACAGAGCGGTACAAGGGTTGCTCTCTGCCTAAACCTCCTAAGACCCTGTTTGTTCTCGAAAGCGTCCATCATCTCCATGCAAGTTGCTGTGTTTGCAGTTTCTGACAGCAGCTGTTTTCTGCTTTTGTTCATAATTTCTTCCAGGAGCACAGTTGCCTGGATAAGAAATTTCCTTTTATTCATAGTAGTTTATAACTCAATCACTTCCCTGCTTTACTGGGGCCTTTACTTCCTATGCCATCCTGAGGCCTGTATTAGCAGGAGAGCCAGAGATATGGGGCCATGCTGAGATATCCAGAGTGACCTTAAAACARATTTATTATGTCTTTGAGAGTGGAAATTTAAGTAGAGTCAATCCTGTCTGCATCTTCCACTGATGTCCACAAAATTGACAGCATGATTTAGATACAGAGATTAAAAAATAGACATCACTTGAAAAATAACCCTCACTTCTCTGTGAGGGTGGTGAGGTCCTGGCACAGGTTGCCYGGAGAAGCTGTGGCTACCCCATGCCTGGAAGTGTCCAGGACCGCGTTGGAGTGGGCTTGGAGCAACCTCTTCTAGTGGAAGGTGTCCCTGCCCATGGCARRGGGATGGAATTAAAGGATCTTCAAGGTCCCATCCAACCCAAGCCATGCTGGGATTCTGTGAATGCAGCAGCAATTTATTGTCCTGTCCTGAGGGACCTTATTAAATTTGRGCAATTTAGTTGTCCAGAGAAAGGTTTTAGATGTCTTTGTGTTGCAGCATCTCTTTTGTATCGCAAATATCATCAGTAACATTTACCATTTCCCTTCCAGAAAGGACAAGGGGCTCCGGGGCGGGAGCCTGTAATCAGTCATGAGGARCAAAAAGAGATGATGCTGTACTACTACAGGAAGCAGGAGGAGCTGAAGGTAAGTATTCTTTTTAGTGCCCAAGAGCTGAGCTGCTCYGACAGAACGCAGGCTGCATTCCTCACCACCTCCTTCCCCTCTCTGCCACAGAAACTGGAGGAGGAGGATGATGACTCGTTTCTAAATGCGGAGTGGGCAGACAACCATGCTCTGAAAAGGCAATTTCACGGTGTAAAAGACATCAAATGGGGTCCAAGATGAAGCTCTGCAAGCCTCTTCTTAAGCTGCTCAGTTGATGCTCTTGTTTGCAGCAAGTTGTGTTGTGTGTGGTAGGTTCTTCCAACAGCAGCTGAAATTGTCACTTCTGTTGGCCTTAGGTGTTCAATAAATATTCATATTTCTCTGTGACTGCAGCAGCACTTTTCTCTGCAAAGAGTTGAATCAATTCTCTTTAAGTTTGGTATTTTATTAGAAACTTTAACTTGAATATGGAAATGTCAATCTATTTCATAGATAAGAGATCTAGTAAATATRCACTGGAATGTTTCGTGGTGTTCAGAGTGGTCTTTATACTCTCTTCTCATTCTTGCATTACTATTAGCTAGTGTGCTCTSTAGAAGGTAATTTATTTTATAAGAAATAAATTATAGGCTAATAATAGGCKAATCCAGGAAAAATTAATGTTTTTATGTACTTGTTTGCATTCCAGCATAGCTATTTCCTAACTGTCATTTTGCAATGAGTTAACCTCTTAATTGTTTAAAGAAAATATTTTTGCATAAGCGCAAGTAACATCCTTGTAGAGTGCCTCATTTTCATTCTTTGGTTTAGTTTTTATTGTTGCTATATAAAGGTTGACAGAAACTTGAATACAAAAATAAGTATAATTTGCAGACAGATTAGATAAATAAAACCAGGTTTAATAGGACCATATCTCTTAAGATGGAAGTAAAAAAAMCATCATTTTCGGTATTACAATGGTTGAAGAGAGACAGACCAAGTTGGAAGTCAGGTGTCTGCTGAACTTGCAGCTTGAGGATTGGATGTGGAAAAGACAATTAATGCCATTCAATGAACTATTAATGGTGATTTTACTTCAATCACTGTTTTTTTTTACTTTTAGCAAAGTTTGGTGTCTGCTAGTTTTTCTTGAATCTCAACTTCACAGTAACATGACTTTTTACAAAAAGAAAAGTCAGCATTTCTGAGTTGCAGAACTTCAAATATTATTTATTTAAAATTTATTTGGAATTATTTCTACATGGCAAAAAAAAGGTTTTTAACAAAACACTTTGTTCTACCACTTCCTTAGAGAAAAATCAGTGTTCTGGGACTTAYAATATTCTGATTTCCTCTCTGAAAGCAAGGAAAAAGCAGGCATAGGAAGCATTTAACACAGATTCTGCACCCCTTTGACTGCTGCTCTCTGCTGTAATAGGTGCTGTTTTTTTCTTTAGCTGAGTAAACGTTCCACAGCATCAATGCTTCTTTGGAGTTCTCACAACAGTTTGTGGATCTGCTGGATTCATCTATTATGGCTGAAATGGAATGAACTTACTGAAAAAAAGATTAAAATGTACAAGAACCCAGGAAAGCCTATATGTATTTAATTATTAAGGAGATAGAGATAGGAACACCACATGTGGGTTTGCAAACTTGCAAAAGCATTTTGTCTTTCTTTTAAATCACTTATTTCTGGAAGTTTGAGAGCAGCCATGCCCTTCCAGACAGAAAATCCATTCTCTCTCAAAGCAGGCACGCATCAGAACATTGCTAAAATGTTTATTTTCTGGTCATATCACCATTCTGATGAATGGACATGGTTTCCACACCTGGTTTCATTCCTTTTCTCCTTTTCATGGTTTTGCTTTCCCACATTGCTCCTCTCTCTGCCTCAGGATTCGGAAAGTTTTAYTTATTGCATTTTGCAACCTCACCCAGGGTTCCTGGTGACAAACTCGGGACTGTTTTCAAGGCAGGAATGGGAAGGTCAAAGAGCCCTGCTCRACATTGCACGTTGCCTTCCAGCAAGTTCGGATGTTGATGGTGGGTCTTCTGATTTCCAGATGTGTGTCATTCCCACAGCTGTGTGTGGGGCATGAACCAAATTGTCCAAACTTGCAAGCTCTCCTTGGCAGTATTTTCTCCTTAGGCTGCTCTTCTGGGCAATTGCAGGGATTTTACTGCTGAGAGTCCATCCCACTACCAGTCCTAAGTGTCCTTCCCATAGCATTGCTGCTGCTGTGCCGTAGCACCCCRTGGATGCATCAACCCTCAGCCTGGAGAGGGAGTAAAATTTGGTTATGGCACTTCAGATGCTGCTTTTTTCAGCACTTGGGGCAGCTAAGTGCATACCTCACTAATTTTTTCTTTTCTCTGCTGGATACTTTTTCTGCAGAGAGTGTTGTTTCAGAAAGATCAAAATAATTTAATGTCTTGTTTATCAGTTTCTTCCATGCTTATCTTCAATCTGATTTTCAGACTGCTGTGAACAGTGAACATTTGGGAATGAGGTGAACCACTAATTAACAGCTTTCCCAAATAAGACCTGGAAAGTTTATGCAAAAAGAATAAAATAGCAACCCAAACTCAGACTATAAATAGTTTAGTCAGAGATCCTGAGTGAAGCCTGACCTCCCAGTCTGGAGCAAAAGCTGCTTCCCCTGCCCTGCTRAGTTGCTCCTGAAGTGGGGATTTGGACGGGGTTTGTGACTATGTTTGAGGATCCATTTAAACAGGCATGTATTATTAAGCACTGCACTTTACACATTCCCAGTGGCTGTGAGATGCTCCATCTTGGGAAGCAGCTGCTTCTCAGGCACCTGCAGGCATGTTTTACTGTCCACAGGCAGCTTGTGGTAGCAGGCAGGGAGGAAAAGTGGGAGGGGATCAAGTCTGCTAAAGCACTATTTCAATACAAAAGGTGTTTTTCCTCCAAGGTTGTGAAAGCAAGGAGAGGACTGGGAGTTGGGAAAAGTGAAGCATTTCGCAGTTTTGCCCCAAGGAAGGAATTCGCTTCTAAGTTGCAAGATGCTAATCTGCTGCCACTGCAGATGCTAATCTGCTGCCACTGCAGTTTTGTCACCAGGAATGAAGACCCTGGTTTCAGCTGAGAATCCCAAGGAGGGGTATCAGATGGATAGATGTGTGGATGAAGTGAATGAAACAGGGAAAGGACCCCTGTGCCCAGTGGTAGGGGCAAAGGCAATGGGCACAAAGTGGAACCCAGGGCKGTCCCTCTGAACATGAGGGAACAATTTGTCACTGTGGGAGTGGCTGAGCACTGGCACAGGTTGTCTGGAAAGGTTGTGGAGTCTCATCCTTGGTTGGACCAGGTGTTGTGCAGTGGGTCACCCCTACGGCACACTGACTTTACCTTGTCTTGAGTAAAGTGAAGTCTGAAGGAAAGATAACTCCCAGCTGTTGTTAGGATGCCAGCCTCTGGCCTGAAACCCCTTCAGGGCTTCCCAATAAAAAATGAGGGAAGAAAATGCACTAATTTTAGTGACTGTGAGCATTAACTGCCAGACAGATAGCTTCCCCAAAATAATCAGCTGGAGATCACCTGAGCTATGGGCCCCAGGCTCTACAGGAGAGAGTTTCACCAGGACTCAAGAGTTTTGGAGAATTCACCAGAGCAGGGCCCCCTGGAGCCCCTGACCTCAGCTGTGCAGGTCAGAGCCCAGCCCGCTCCAGTAAAAGGAAGAGGATCAGGATTTCTTCTCTAGTATAGCCTGTCAGCAGGGGGAATTGTTGGGGTCCCTGTGTATCTGACTGGGAAATGGGTGGCACCTGCCCTATGAGTCAGGAGGAAGGAGCCAGCTCTGGCCCAGTGCCCTCTCCAAAAGCAACCTTGCCTTTTTCCACCCTCAGGACCAAGGCATGGGCTTCTCCAGACCAAAACATATTAATCAATATCATGCATGGCACAAGCTATGACAACTTCCTACTGGAAAGGGGAGAGCAGGAATGCAACCAGGCTCTTGGGCTGTGCCAGACCTCTCCTGCCATTTCCAARTGCTCCAGATGACCTCAACCCTCTGTCCATCTCCTTAGCCTCTCTTCCTTCCGCTGATAGGATGCTAATTGCTGGTGAGATTTTTCCAGTTGAGTACAGGATTGTGCCTTAGTCATCTGAGCAAGCTCCCTTCCTCCCTTTAAAGTTTTTCCAGGCTTAATTGAACTGTGTATCAGTAGGAAATGACAAGTCATGTCACCGTTTTCTTTCCACGTTTTYCATACTACTTCGCTTTACCTGGACACACAGCGTCTGTGTGGGGAAGCACAATGAACCCATGAAGTATGACCAATAGGAAGTGACATTTTTCCTCCTTTTGTTCAGTAAATTCCCCATGGGCAGCAGTTAAAATATTGGAGACATTTTTAAGACAGGAAGGCTCTTGTGGTTTCAGCTTAGATACATTACTGATTTAATTTTCTGTCCAACTGAAACCAAATCTGACTAGTCTAACTGTTTTCAAGTGAAGATTGCAAACTGATAAAAAATCCTGAATATGACCTGCATTCAAGTGCTGGCTTTAACCTTGCTCTAAGATCAGAAAAATGAACCCAATGTTTCCCTTAAGTAAATTGTTCTTAGCGTGTGGCAACGTATACAGATTTGCCAGCACAGGTARCAGCAGGCACACATCTTGGGCAGGTCTGTTTTCATGGTTGAATATATCTGTTTAAATGTTTTCCACCTTTTTTAATATTCCTAAACATGYATTTGGCAGTTGATCCCAAATTACAGTGAAAAGTAATCTGTAGCAGGAGTTAAGACTATAGAGTGTTTTTCACAGAAGGATTTGTAGACAGTCAAGGGTATGAAACTCTTTTTATTGCATATATTTCTTTTTATTTTACAAATAATTATATTCACTGATACAAATGCTCCTTCACAGAAGGTACATTCTTTTTTTTTTTTTTYTTTTAAAAAAACTGATAGGGCGTCATCCAAAATAAGCCATTTATTGTTCATTAATATAAAATGTATTCATGTTTCTAGGAGGTGTCATATCCAAACCACTGTTCATCCAGATTTCCTGTATGATCTGCTCCCTGCGCTCAATCCTTTCGGCCAGTTCCACTGCCTCTGCTGAGTTATAACCTGAGTAAGAAGGTCTGTAAAGTCCATCTGCCTCATCCTGCGTGTTCGAAAGGGAGGAATCCTCCCCCTCCTCCTCCTCCTCCTCCTCCTCCTCCTCCTGTTCACTGTTCTGGTAGGCTCTGGCACCCTCTGGCACCAGCTGATCCCTCTTCCTGTGCAGTTTCCGGATGTCAGTGGCACATGACACACGGATCACCAAGGTACACAGTGTGAGGATTAATCCCATACAAACACTGGACACAAACAGGAGAGCGGCTCTTTCAGGGTGATCTGCAGGCAAGAAAACCAGGGTTTAATCACTTTACAAACTGCCAAGGCTGGTTACAAAGCTCCAGCTGCCATTCTCACAGCATTCCGTACCCATAAGGCACCCAAACCTCCCGACGCTCACAGCCCGACCCTGTGAGCTCTGTCTCTCCAAACTGCCAGGCAAAAATCCAGCCGGGTTATAACATTGTAAAATAACAATATGATCCCATCCCTTTATGAGCAGCTCACTGCTGTTATCAACCATCTTCCAGATCTCTGCACACCTTTTTTTTGGTTTTGCAGCCATCCTGCGAAAATGGGTCTTTCCCTCACAAACAGGGGGCATCAGAAGAACTACTCGGGGCTCCGCAGGGCCTTGGCAGCATCTCCAGGCCAGGCTCAGTAGGAAGCACTATTCTTCTTTCACACTTAGTGTTCCTAAGTCACAAAACCTGCTTCTTTTCACAGCAGAGATGGCTGGGTTTGGGATGGCTTTTTTCTTTTTTTTTTTCACTACTCCTTGATGATCCGTGTATTTATGCAACCCACAAATATCCAGAGACGGATGCCTCCAGTGCTTTCAGAGGCTGGAGCCAGGTTTTCAAAGCTACTGAACAACCAACACTCCCCATTGAAAATATTAATTTAAAAATATTTTGGCTGTAGTTSCTAAGGGAGTTTGGATCCTTCAAGATAGGAAAAGTTCCCTAAATATCGATTATGATGGGATTGTCCCATCCACAAGACTGTGATTATATTGTAATAATATCATTACCATAAACATGGGGATTACTTAGTTGTAACCTTTGGAGTTGATCATCCTTTTCCCAAAATGCCACAACCTAATGAGCCAAACAATCTCAATCTCATTTTCGTACCTCTAATGTATGCAAATGTAGCCAAGTAGTTAGAGCTAACAATAGTTCCATCTGTCTTTGGAAGTCTCGATTCCCTTGGATCAAGGTCRACACCTGTGACATGAAGAGGTAAAGTAAATTCAATGAGGCTACTAAATTGGTGTTCACCCAGTAACTCTCCAGCTAACAAGTCTACCCAAAACACAGGCAGGCCAGTGCTGTGCTGAAGGAGCTGCAGAACACTCRACCAAACAATGGTTGCTAAGTTAAATAAAGTATAATTAATAAATTGCTGAAAATATCAAACATCTAGAAAAKGACAAGTTCGTTTAGAAGAGTCTATTGCCAAGCGAAATCCCTTGTGCCTATTCCCAGTGGGATTTGTGAAATGATTTTGCTTTATGAAGCTTCATAGTTCTCCAATGCCCTTCCCAGCTCAACCATGCCATGCGCTCCTGTTACTGGGGACAGCAGACAGACATCAGCCTCGTCCTTAACTTGGTGGCCTTGGAGAAGAGCATGGGTTGGCAAGATTCTCCACCCTGAAACAAGTACAATTTCACTTTTCCCAGCACACTGGCTCTGGTCTGGCTGGGCAGGTCACTCTGCCTGCAGCGCTGCTGTGACTGCAGCACTGTGCTCTCATCCCACTCGCAGTCTGTCCCCCTGCTCTCCAGTGGCAAGAGCAGCTCTTTCAGCATGATTTCTGCTACCTCATCCCAAGCCCTCTTCCAGTGGTGATGCATACCATYGTTCTGTTTGACGGAAGACTTGTTATTGGGGACCAAGGGGTTGACAGCCGTGAGGATAAATTTAGGAACTGCAAAGACAAAAGACAAATTGTGTTCTGTAACTTTTAGGAACCCTYTCCCCAATTAACTACAAATCCCACTAGTAACCCTGGGTTTATTAACAGGTTTTTGATAGTGGTATTGAAGGTTGGACACCATCTTGTAGATTTTTTTCAACCTTAATGGTTCTTGCAAAGTCAGGGCCGCTCTGTGCTTGTGACTGGATTCATACACCAGCTTGCTCCAGGAACATCAGTGCAGCTCCATACAGCCTGGCAACCTGCTCCTTGTTTTCAACTCTTCAAGGGTGTGCCAGCCAGTGGATGGAGACAAAATTGGCCTCTAAATCCAGCATAAACTGGGCTACAGCCAGATGCTAAGTTGCATCTACATGCTAGGTTTGGATGAAGTTAATTCTCTGTAATTAATCTAAGATAAATCTTGTGTGATGTCATTTATGAAGCTTCTGAGACGGACAGTTGCTGAGGAGGAAGGTGGGGTGGATGGGAATAGATGAACTGCGTCTTTCTCATTTCATTACTTTATTCCCTTGATAAGTGTTCACAGTCTTCAAATAATTAAAAGAACTACAAGCAGGTGCATTGTACAGACATTGAGAGTTCACATATTTTGTGATGGATGAATAGGCCCTTCAGACATTCAGACCTTGGCACCTGTTCCTGTAGTATGCGAAGGCAGATTGATTGATTGTCAGACTGATGGGGGGTGGAGAAGGAAGACATTTCAAGTATGAAGCTCACCTTTATCCCATATAGAAACATTTGCCAAAAAATAGTGTCGAGTGAGTTAAATGGAACAGAGGAGACTGAAGTTTGCAGCTTAGCATAGTTTTCATTTGGAAAACAACTAAAAATAGCACTTCTTTCTGAGCAGAACTTTCTTTCTTTGCGGGCTCAAAGTCAGAGCTGTTTCCTTTCCTGATGAAGGAATACTTTTGGAACTCTTAGCTCCTGTTTGCAGTGGAAGTCCAACAGATACAGGGGTAAATAAGCCCATTTCTATTTTGCCTTGTACCCTATTGTAATTCATAGCTGTTTTTCAGCAGCAGAATATTTTCCTTGCTGTATGGGGCACATAGGGCACAGGATTGTTTCCAGCCTGCAGATTACGTTTGCGGGCCTGAYTGTTCTGAACAATGTGCCTGTGTTGTGAGCAACATCCTTGAAGGATGTACCATCTCCAATGCCGATGTGGGACCTGAAGCTCCTGTCACATGGCCTGGGAGTCCATCACTTGTGCTGATGTTCCTCCAACTCCCCTCCCAAGGGGAACTTCCCAGGGCTTTGCATGCTCTTTTTCTCTACACCATTCAAGTATTTATTGTAGGGGAACATTTCACTCAAAATGGCATAGAAAGAAAGAGCCTCTGGCTGYTTGTATTGCTCATTTTCATTACAATCCCTTTCAGATGCAAGGACTTGGATAGGCTACATCAGGTTGCTGAACAGAACAKCTGGTACCAGCATGAGGAATTTTGATTGAGATAATCACATCTGTACTTCAACTTGTGCCAGCAGTATTTTGTCAAGTAGCAGTTAGTCACCTCCGGAGGCCACCAAAGGCAGCCTGCAAAGGGACTCTGGCATCCAGGGAGTGCTGATAAACTGTGGGGCCGCAGGAGCCGTGTTTCCTGAGAGAGGATTCTGTGATCCTGAAGTGCAGCCTCAACAAGAACCAGGAGGTCCCACCTTGTGCAGACAGGAGATGATGCTGAGCAGAGAGACTTAAAAAAACCAGCACCTCCCAGGTCCTGCCATGTTTTTGCTGTCAGAAATGAACTGCAAATTTAAAAATGCAGCCAGGCTCACTACCTGTAAACAGCTGCTGACCACTGGCTAGGGAGTATGGCTTTTTCCCGCATTCCTGACCATGACAGAAATACTTGGAAGTGTGGCACAGCCCTGAGAACAAAAATGCTCTGCTGTGCTGAGTTCCTGCCACTACAGGGAGAGGTCTATTTGCGTTATCTTGGGAGGCATCAGGTTAGCAAGCATCTTCTAGTGAGGAGAATTATGTAAAATCTCATTCTGGAATATGCCAAATTCTTCCCGTGTTCATTAGATGATCTGTGAAATAACCAAACCTGTAAATCATTCGCTAATGCTTCAGATTGCACAGCTCAGTAAGATTTGGCAGAACTCCTCCAAATGCCAGCAACACACAAGAACACTATTTATTACCCATGTGTTTTTGCAAAACCACATCCCAAAATAACAGAATGCTTAACTGCAGTGAAAACAAACTCATGCTGCTTTTCTGGTACACAGACGTGCAGAGAGGAATRACTTGTTGTAATTATCCTCATGCTAATTAGGAAGAATTACATTAACTGGTTCATAAAGGCACCTGCAAAATAATATAACGTATTGGTGCAATGGCAGATTCCCAGATCTCTCCAGTAATAAGAAACTGAATTACTGGACTGCCTTTCACAGCTGGCAACCAATTCCTGGGCTCATTTTCATCTAGTCTTCAGGTAGAGGTGATCGGGCTGTCAATCCTACACTGCTGTTCTCAAAAGCATGTCTCAGGTAACCTGTACCCTTTGACCACTACTCACTAGGGAGGTAGCCAAGGGACCCTGCAGTGTATACCTGTGGAACTGCTCCTATTGAAGTATTGCAGGGAATTGTGCTCGCCTCTTATGAAAATATGTTAGTCTCTGGCAAACAATATGGAAAGCTGTTCCCTCGTCTCAGGAATGAGCTGAAGTACATTTCAGTCCTGCAAGGGATGTATAACCTCAAACCTTTACTTTTCATGAACCTTCACTTCCCTTTCTACAAGAATGGAAGCCCTTCTGTGAGGGAGAAGCTGCAGATGTGCTCACGTGAATCAGGTTTCAGGACTGGGCTTATTTTTCCTAGCTCTGTTGCAGCTGAATTCTGTGGAAAAGACTCCTAGGTGAATTCTGTGGAACAGACTCTTATCTTGATAGTACTTCTCAAAAATATTGGACTGCTTACTTGATATTTTATTGTCAGTCATGGTTTTTTTAACAGCAAAAAAAGTCCCCTTAATGCCAGCGTCTCTGTTAGATGCAGCTCTGCCCAGGGGATTGTGTTTTGTATGGCTGTGTCACAAACTTCCTATGTTAGAGGGAAGTGGGTATTTAGGGAGGCTCAGTSTCCATATGTGGACATGTGTGTGTCTTTTCAAGCAGAAACGAGGGCTTGAAAATGATTGTGCATTTACTCTTACCGCATGCATAGCTGACATTAAGGTATTTTGTGACTCCAGGTAGGCATGGACTCCCAAAATCACGGCTAGTGACAATGATTTTGCATCTCTGTTTCCCGTAACACCTTTTTGATAACACTTCCAGCGCCGTGTAAGACAAACAGTCTGAAAGAAAAAATGCATACAATAAATGTCCAGCCCTGGTGTTATCCAAAATGAGAGTTCCTGGATGCACGACTAAAGAAACAAATCTGCGTCTGATCTCAAGCATAATTTTGCCTAGAGTTAGATATTCAGAGTTAGATAATTCAGAGTTAGATATTAAGATTTGTCAATGCAGGAAAGTCAGCTGCAATAAAAATGTGAACTTGCAGCAGGTTAACTCTCCCATGTTGCCTTCCAGGTGCATACTAAGGCTGCAGGAAGAGTCTTGTCAAGCTCCAAACAGGTGCCCAATATAAAGTCTCAGTGTTCTGTTCAGGATGTCTTGGAAAAAATAATTACACATCCGAATAGCTCTCCATCTATTTCATCTCAAATCAAGAGAGATGAAATGTTCTTTCCAAGTCTGTCTCTCAGCCCTGGGTTACTGAGATGAGTCAGGCTGGACACCCAAGTTCAGTTCAAGTCAGGTGAGATAAATTTTTATGTGTTGCAACAGCTCAGGCTACAGGGAAGTTCACGTATTAAAAAGTAGCTTTTGACTTACTATKAAGAGTTCAAAATGGGCTCAATGTTTAACCAGGAAAACATGTGGCTTCCAAAWATGGGTTTTGCACTGGAGCTGAAATTATTTGAGTGGGAAAGTGTGTGAGTCACACTCTTTAAAAAAAAAAAAAGTCTCTAAATGTGATTAAGTTCTCTGTATCCACATGTGCTAAACTCCAAGCCACAAAGCAAAAAGCATCCTGTAGTTTTGTTTTCTAAACAAAAAGGATGCAGAAGGGACAAGTCTGGAGCGAGTAACACTTCTCTAAATCTTTCTGCATCCCCCCACACACCATGGCTTTCTGTGTGTGACAGATATGTTTCATTCGAGGCTTCTGAGGCAAGRGCACTCTAGAGGCCTGAAACTTAGTTCTCTGGGCATTAAAACAGTCCCTTTTCCTACAGTGAAGGATGGCATCTGGTCATCTGCCAACTGCTGAAGCTGATTTTTGCCTCTTTAGAGGAAGGACAAGCACTGTTTCCAAAGACACTTCAAAGGTTCCCCAAATCTATTTGAAAAGAAGGTTTGAGACTGAGTTCTTTACATTTAATGAGTGAAAATGGGGCAAATTTGTSATTTTTAGAGTTAATTCCCTGACACCAGCCCCAAATAAGTCATACACCTGAGCAGATCCATCAGGAGAGATTGGGCTGACCTGTCTAGCAAAGGGTTTGTGGGTTACTTTGAACATGGATGGTTTTCTACATATTCAGTCATATGTTTCATGTGTTTACCAAATGCCTTTGGTAGGCATTTGCTCATGTTTCTGTGGGAGTTAATAGCTTCTTATCATCTCTATCCATGTTGGATTTGGCTCCTCTGCCTGAGAAGCCAGTCATATTGTGCCTGCAGGTTCTTGGCAGGCCAGGTTTTGGAGAACCTCCCAAGGCTTGCCTGGTATCACAGGTGAGTAAATGCAAACCATGGCTGGTTTCTTCTGCAGGTCAGAACAGATGTTATCTGGAAAGATGTATAATGTAAAAAAAAAAACCTATTTAAAACTTCCTTTAGAACTTTGTGTTCTAAAAAGATTTGGGGTTTTAGTGATTCGATCAAAAAATATCCTTYTTTTTTTTTTTCCTATCTGATTTATGTGCATCCTTGCTACCTTCCCACTAGCTCTCCCAGCAGCTAYGATGGGAATAACTTGAATAACTTAACCTCCTCCTGGTCAAATATCTTATTCCAGTGACTGAATGAGGAGGGGTCAGTGCTGTGTTTTGGGTAAAGGAATCCCATAGAATGGCTCCAAAGAAAACATTAACTGGGAGATGAACATAAATATGCAATGTGGCTTCTTTGTGGCTAAATGCTGTTTGATCTCCACAGATATCCCTGGAGTCTGTTAGACTGGTACCATGCATTTTCAATAACCTGCCTCTGGAAAGGCACATTCCCAGAGTGCTAAAAGGCTGRCAGCATCCAGTGGTGGCAGACAAGGCAGCAATATGTGGCTGGGAAAACACTCCATTCTCCACGCCCTTCTCCCAAAGCTGCTTGTTACACACCAAGACTGTCGGTGGATCTTTTATACCAGACACTGCTATGGATGGCACAGGGACACGGGTGTCAAGACGAGGTTCTTAATGCAGTAATAATCTATCCAATCTGGCTGCAGCTATTGAACAGTTGGAGTAGAATGCCTTGTTTCTGAAGGAAAGGTTCTTTCAGATCCCTAATTAGCTTTGTTTGGCAAAGTTTTGGCATGCAAATGACATGCCATAAATCATGCAGGCTTTAATGAGAAGTAATTTGTCTTCTGGTTTCTTAAAGCTTTTCTCAATTCAGACAGGAGGAGCTTTCCCTCCCTTTCTTTCCACCCTGCCACACAAGACCTGCAGGTGATGGAGCATCTTGTGCCAGGCTCCGGCGACAGCGTCCTGTCCCACCCTCTCCAAACATTTCCAACTGCTTTCATCCTCAACTGCTCCTTATACTAGTTTATGTGTCCTGGGCTGTGCCCACCCACAGAAGAATAAGGCGCTCACTTTTAAAATTAACTGAAAACAAAGATTTCACACCTCCAAAGCGGGRTGGCTAGTTCTTTGTGCGGCCCAAATACCAGCTGTGGGGACAAGAACTGACAAGGGGAAACTATGGAGTTTGGAGCAAGCTAAGGCTGCAGACTCTTAAGGAAAGTTRCTGAAGTAATATGGTAATTTATGCAAGAGCATGGCACACAGCCTGTGCATCAGAAAAGGGCCACTTGAAGTGCTGATCCAGCAGAAACACACAGTGTGATCCACAGCACTTTTGTACGAAAAGAAAAACCAAACTTGGTCTCTCTCTCCTCTTTGCAGATGCGTGGGCAGAGTGGGGGATCCATCCCACCAACCACCAAGGGCAARAGACAAGTGGGGCTCTCCGCTTCCTGGCAGCAGGAACCAGACTCCCTGCTCCTGCATGTGCGCAGGCAGGAAGTCCTTGGCTCCTTTTAGACTTTAGGGCCAAGTACTTTTCCAAATTTTTCACAAATTTGAGCCATAAAAAGATAGACCCAGTACTGAACTGCTGTAAAGAAAACATTACTGGTCGAAGTGATGTGTGTCTCAGAGTGCTCCAAGCAACTTCCACCAGCCAAAACTAATCTTCCCTGTTCATCTCAGAAGTAAGGTACTTGGACTCTAAAAGCAGTGGCTGGTCTCTTCTTCCCTTCAAACAATCAATCCTCACCCTGCCACTGCTCTGAAAACCTCTTCTTCTGAGGGACTGTTGTCTTGACAAGATTCATTGGGGCCAAGGGGTGCAATGGCTCTAAATGGAACRTCTTGGGGCCCAAAACACCTGCTAAGTTTCCCAGTTTGCTCGAGCTGACACGGGCAAGGACCTTTTCATATCTGATGTCTGCACACAGACAGAGCTGACTTAAGAGGTTTTGGGAAGCAAAATTGGACTATTTTATCCTTACTCGTGCATCCAGAAAATTAATTTGACTCTTGTCTCCCATGCCCAAAGTGCCAAGGCAGTGTGGAAACATTTCCAGGTCTGCCTACAGCTGCTTGTGTCTTCACTGCAGTTACTTCCGCTCTTGAGAGATTTTCCCTARGGACTGGCTCACACCAGGCAGAGAGTACATTTTTTAGTAAGAGACAGAAACTATAAGCTTTTCAGTCGGTCAGTGAATAAGAGGTGTAAAGCCCTTTGAATTGGCCACAATATTCAAACACACAAACAAAGGAGAGTCACAGCATCATAGAATCCTGTTACATTAAAAAAAAAAAAAAAATCACAACACCTACTTGGACTGGAAGGAACCTACAGGATTTTGAAAATGTCCCTTATTTGGCTTGCTCATGCCTTCCTCTTAGCTGAATTCCACTGGGCAAAGGAGACTAGGACAAATCCCAGCCCCAGGGTATGTCTTGGCACAGTGCAAGCTGTAATGAGAGTTTGTGAATTCTCCACCTAATCTCTCAACCCTCCAAAAGTGGGACCAGGAAAAGGAAAGGCTGTACTGGAAAGAATTCCACCTTCCAGTAATGAGAACCATGCCAGGGGTGTAATTCTGGGCTCTGCTAGTCACCGGTGCTTGAGAGAACATACATCTGACCAGTCAGTGTGCATCCCGAGGAATTTCTGGGAAAGATACTGCAGTGTTCTAGCTTGCAAGCTGAACCTAGAGGCGACCCACTACCAAGCCTTCTTTCAAGTATTTTCATGTATTAACAAGAGTAATTTATAATTTGAGAGGTGTTTGTTGACCTGAATCTTCCTTGTGCTCTCTATGGAAACSTGTTCTGGCACAATATTTTAACTTCTTCTGGCCAATAAATATTCTGTTTCTTCATGTACATGTTAGTACAGATATAAAAGAGATAATGGGTCAGAAAAGGCAACAATTCACACAGGAACAAACTGCTACAGTTTCCTGCTTTGGTGCTGGGCACAATGGATTCCTCTAGGCAGAATCATCTGCTACAAAACCACACTCAGAATTTTTTGTGACATTTTTTATAACCTTAGTAAAAGAGGGCAGTTGCTTATTGAAAATTCTGTACAGTCTTAACAGTGCCAGGCATTTGGACAGCTGCAGAAACTGGTTTTTACTATTAAACTGGCTCAGAAAACCAGTTGCATGAGTAGGTAGTCACGCTAAATATGGAGCTGAGGCTCAGCATCCTACAAGTGCTCACAGATCTCCCATAGCAGAGATGTATTTATATACTTTATTTCCTATATGGAGAAGAGCCTTTTTGCCAAAGAAGTGTCATGTTTTCCTGGGTTTCCTTTGAACCGAAGTTCTGAAAGTCTGTCAGCTGACTTGACAGGTAGTTCACAGAAAAGCAATGTTTGAGAACAACCCAAAGCTGTTGTTTGTCATTGCTGTCACACATAACGGCAGGTGGCCAGGTTCTCACGGAGATATTCAGTASACCTGGCAGGACTGTATCCAGTATGGAGAGATGCAAAACTTCTAAGCTCACCAGAGACTTTCTGTGCCTGTCATTAGGACCTGCAGATTACTCCTCTTCTGCATAGTGTTATAAAAAGTGCCTCACAGTTTCTCTGCGATGCAGTGAAAGAACTGGAAAGGCTGGAGCACTGCCCTTAGGCTGAGTTGCGCCAATGTGAGCTGAAACAACAATGGATGTGTGTGTGCTAGAACCAGTTTAGCTTTTGGTGCWAACATAAATAGGTACATGGGCTCTGATTCAGGAAGGAAGAGCTGTGTCAAGTCGTTACATTCAATTTACCATCGTTTTCCCTGAGAGAAAGGTGCACAGTCATTGCAGAAATCTAATCATGCACCCACTTACATCTGTAGGTGCCTAAATAATGACATTAGTCAGATTTAGGCTCAAGGCAGATAGATCTGGAGTCAATTGGATCTGCCTCCCAAGTGCCAAGTCTTTTGTGATAACGGAATGTGAACTCCCACGCCACACAGACTTTTGGAAATTCCATTGCCTGCAGAAGATCAGGAAGAGGTCAAGCACTTCCACAAAGTAGTAGGAAATCTATACAAGGATCTACCTTCTGTAGATGTGCTTTGTGTTTGTCTCAGGTTTCATGGTCCCTTTACTGGTGTCTTAGGCTGCTTTATAGAGCACAAAACCGGCACCAGCCAGGGTGTTGCTTCACAGGTGCTTGTACCCAGGGGCCAAAGCAAAGCTTGTTGCTGTTGGAATTTTTTTCTCCTTATCCTGGGAAACTATATCGAGTAGGAAAGGTTTGCAGAATTCTGATCTGTGAACTGTGAGAGCTGACATTAGAGGCAAGGGAGTGATTTTGAAAGGTGAATGAAGTGTGAGACTTAAGTTTGATAGCAGCCTCTCTCAATCAGCCAAGCCATCTCTGCCTTGCCTTGTGTCACCTGTTGTGCCACCAGCATAAGGGGTGTGTGGGCTTGCCAGAGACCTGCTAAATGTTTCCTCCACAGAACAGACAGRCACAGCTAAGTCTATGCGAAGTCCCAAGAGAGCCGGTGTGAAACACAGACGTGGCATATTAAAGAGATTCTTGTCTAAGAACAGATTGCAATTTTCAGGCAATAAATTTATACTTCTATCTATGTAACTAAATAGAAACATTGGCTTGCAGACGAAGGGCCCTTAAGATTAATTATTGATATCTTCTTGATGTTCAGAGAGGCTTCTCATAGATGACACTTAAAGCATTTTTCTTACGAGCAGGGTTAAGCTTTTGCTTGCTGATGCAAGCCCTCCGTGTGTAGTACCGAGGTGTTGGGACAGCACACTCATCTCATGCTGGCCTTCTCCATGGTGTGAAAAGTTACCTTCATGCCCTCAGTTTCACCACTGAATGTATTATTCAGTTTAATGTGTACCTAGGGCATTCCTGACTTGGTGCCAGAGAGAAGTCCCAGGTGCATTTAAATTTCTAGTGTGCCACCACAGCTTTGGAGTCTGGSCATACAACAGCATCTAAAGCAATGGCCCCGCTCATGGACCCTCTCCTTACAGTCTGCAGCTAAGGCAGGGAATATCTGGCAGAAACAGGTATCAGAGAAGAAGGAGCAGTAAGACACAGTATTGTGACACTTGGGTCAACTGGTCATTGTCAGAAGCTGGAGGAAGAGGAGAGGCAAACTGGTGATATTTAATAAATGTCACCTAAATTCAAGGCAGGCAAGAAAACTAGTTTTTGATGCTAATCATACTAAGGACTGATGAACTGTATGAAAGTGTATTACGTCGCTGCATTTCTTACTCTATGTTCCTCCCTCATACTGGGCAGTTTGTTTGAGTTTCAGAAATAATCATCTCACATTTCAATCACCAATGCTTTCAAAGCACCACTGGTCTGGCACCTGAAGTTTCTCCCCACCTGTGTCTCCTCTTCCCTGTGCTCCTGCCTGGAGAAGGTCCCTCAACAGTGCCCAAACATACCAAAGGGGGGTGTGTGCTCCGCCTTTGTTGAGCAGACGTTCTCCTCGTGTGCCCATCTGCCGTACGTGGCCGAGTAGATGATAAGGAACTTGGATTCCTGACAGTGGAGCTTCAGTTCCTGGTTTTCACATGCTGATTTGGTTTTGTATTCAGCTAAAGTAGAAGCAAACAGCAATATGGTAGCATGAGGCAATTTATTTAGCTGGACTCTTAATAGCAAATAGCAGCAGGACAGAAACCAGCTTTCCTGCAAATGCTGTTGCAAGTGACACGTGGCACCAGTACAGCCAGACACAGAGTCAAGCGCAGAGCACTTCTTCCAAATGAATTGCTCCCAAGTGACTCTCTAGAGCCTGTGGCTCCTTTTTGAACAGAATAAAACCCCCTAACTTTTGTCAATCTCCTCTCCCAGTGGAACAGCCTCCCCGCTTCCTTCCTGGTTTCCTGGCTAGCTTTCCACTCCTGCTCGGTAAGAGAAGTTTCATCCTTCCCTTTTGTCTCTCCTCAGGACGCCGTTGCATTCCACACTCGCCTCAGCTGCCCCTGCACACTCATCAATCACACGCAGGGCTGGCACTGCTCCGTGACAGCGCTGGGCGAGAGACGGACAGCGGAAGGACAAAGGCTGGGATGGGTCCCCATCCCGAGCCAGACTGTGCTTTCAGCTGGGTTTGCATGGCTCCACCAAGGTCAGTGGGTTTCCCTGGGCAGCATTGTCCAGCAAGGGCTCTTTCAAAAGTTTGGCTGGCAAAGTGATGTGAATTGGGAGACTGAGAAAAATCCCCCGTTCCCTTGTTCAGCTGGCATAGGCAGCCCAGCAACGCCCTCAGCACAGAGGTGGGGAAGGCACTGAGCACATCTGCATGGCTTATCCCTCCTAGGGAACCCTTTCAGATCTGCCACCTGGTCAATGATGCTCTTCCTGGCCTAAGCAGCCGCTCTGTTCATGGCATTTTACCTTCTTGAGCCTTCCTGGTTGAGCTATGGTACCAAACCTTCTTACTGCAAATAAGGCCAGGGAGAAGAGCTTCTTCTCCAATTTTTTAGTCCTCAGAAATGTGAAATCAGGAAAAGGAGATTCCTGAGCTGAGCAGAAGAAAAGGAAAACCTTATTGTTAGTGAATGGTGTCCCTGTGAGTGGAGAGTGGATGTTAGTTCTTGGGGAACTGGAGAAAGAAAAACCTCCTGTCAACTCATGAATGAAAACATTATTGTTTCATCCAAAACTGAACAGATAAAACAGTGGGTTAATTTCTTGGTAATGTGCCGTTTCTTCCATTCGAGCTCATCAACAGCCACAAGCTTAAGTCTAAAAGGAGTGATTTCGAACAATACCTGCTGCAGATTGTGACTTCTGCAGAAGCACCTRCCATATTGTGCTCTCATAAACAGGACAAAAACCTGGGGTCTGACAGCCTAAAGCTGGGCTGAGTCTGCCTGGCTGTGCTGGAGAGGCTGTGGAGCTACATATAACCCCAAGTGGTATCAGACAAGGAGAAGACCCCAACATAAGCCTCTGCAGAGATATGGCAACAATAATTCTAAATAGGTGAAAAACTAAGGGATTTAGGCAACTGCTTAAGTGCCTACTTGAAGGCAAGGAGACTGCAAAACATACTTGAAGTTATCCTGAGGTGATTTCCTGAGTAAGGATGTTTTCCACAGCCAAGACTAACAATATTGGTATCTTACCTACAAATATAAATTTCCTGTCACAAGAAATCATGTAATTTGCACTGGAATTGGATTATTTCTCAATCCGGAAGGCAGCACTTGCTGCTAAATATGCTTTTGACCAGCTTTTTTAAAAGCCAGGGCACAGAAAATACTATATGCTCCAAGAAACTCCTCTCCCATGGGAAAAAATATTGAGCATCTTTTGAAAGTAATAAAAAGGTTCCCAAATCACTTTTGATTAGTAAAAAGAGATTTCTAATGACACAAACACTGTTGTGATATTCAAAACCATCTACTATTAATAACACGCTAATTGCAATATGCAAAAATAATTTAACTATTGATATCATAAAACAGATAATGAAAAGTTTACATTTCAGGCACTTTTTTTTTTCCCCTAATGATTGGCCCAGGGTATCTCTCTGGGAGTTCTCGAGTCAGTGCTTTGCCAGAGGTAACATCTGCCTATTCCTCTCCATCTCTCTGCTCTGGCTTCCACTTTCCAGTGTGAGCTGGCCCTTCAGTTTGCTTSCCACCTACTCCTGTTCTACCACTGATGTCTCTCTTAGTGCTCTGATCAAAGAAAACCCCTTTAGTGCTTTCTCCTTTGCTTGTGAGCTGGCTGGTGAACCTACCCATAAATCATCATTCAGCTGTTTTCTTTGGGACCCATTTCAGCCACACTGGGAATTTACTGTGAAAAGAGCTGAGCCCCCAGGCTACTGGAGCTTGTTCTCATATACCATAGCAACAAGGAAAACAATTAAAAACCATCAATAAAGGAAACCTCATGGGAATTGTCTTAATCATTCTTCCACTTTCTCATGTTTACAAAGTGGAGTCTCTTTGAGGCAGATTTGTCCCTTCGCATCRGCATCGTATCCGTGCACAGAGCACAGGTGATTCTGCAATAAAACTCTATAACCGAATCAGCACATGTGTCTTCTGGCCATTATTCCATAAATGGGAGGTATTTTTGAATCTGAAAGCTTTAGGCCCAGCTCCTGAAGTATTTTTGCATATTCCTTCTTAGGGTACCTTCCTCATTGTTTGGATCCTTAGCCCAAACATCTGGTTTTGCTGTTCAGCTCTGTCTTTCTATATAATAYGACATTATTATTAACTCACTAAAAATAATTTCCAAAACACTTTTCCTTTCTAGTCTGATGTCTGACATTTGTCCCTGCCAACCTACACTGGTCATTAAATTGGCAGCAATCATTCTGAAGTTGCAAGCACAATGGAGAGCTAAGGTAAAGTAAAAAAGAAAACAGTTATCAATCCAAGCACCCCAAAACTTCACATGGATTTATACAAAGCCTCGTGCAGTGGCATTTTAACCAAAACAAGCAACAAAACACGCAGAAAAACACATTTGCCTGATGAAGATTACTTACTAGGTTTGCATTTAAAGGAGACAAGGAGGAATTTAGTGGTCCCTGGACACAGATCAGGCCCAAAAACCCGACTATTGACAAGGAGTTGGCAGGATCTCAGGTTCTGGCATTCATCCAGTACTTTCTAGAACAATGGGCAAAAAGGATAGTCTTGACAACAAGGTATGAAGCTATAAAGCAATGAAAACACTTAGCTGTACTTTGTTCTACACAGGAGAGAAATCACAACGTTTTGGCTGTAAACGTGCAAGAAACATCTGCATCATTGGATCTAGGCCATAGCTTTACTGGACTTGGCGTCATGGCCAATTTTATGGGAACACATTCACCATAGCCATGCTCATGGCAAATTAGGAAGTTACCAATTTGCTATTATTTGTCACTCTTTCTTCTGCCCCTGGGGAGGTTGGCCAAATTCCCTTGAGTGCCACCACAGCTTCCATACTGCAGAGCCCAGAGTTGATGGGGGCACACTAATCCCCCAACTCTCTCACTGACATGCTTGAGGCACTCATACACTCCTGAGCACATTTATGGGAGTAGAGTGTCCAGGGGAAGCATGGCAACTCAAAAGGGTGTCTTTGTAACCACTTCTTCTCGATCCACTTAAAATTACCTGAACATGCTCTGTAATAATCTTCACTTGAAAGMGTTCTGGCTAATGACAAGCACAACCCAAGCTTTAAGCCATGTGTAGAACTTCCTGCTCAGGATACACTTCCTTCTTGCTTGCAGTTACACACATTATATTTGCTTGACTTTGCACGAATAAATTTCACAATTGGTTTGATTGGATAGCATAGATGTGCAAGTCTATCCTCAGCCTCCTTGTCTTGTTTTGTGGGGTGTTTTTTAATGCTGTTCCAAGGCCATATCTACTCAAAATTTATTGGCCCAGCAATATCCTGGTTCTTACTGTGCAGCTTCCCCGGGAGTGGCAACAGAGGAGGACMACAAACAGGTCAGCAGTGTGATACACAAAGGGTCACATGGGCTCTCTCCCAGTCTGGCAAAAGGACTGAGTGCTTCTACTGCTCACACTGGTACTCCCACTCCAGCTGTGCACTTGGAACTTTAGCTACAGAAAATATGAAGACAGCTTGGGCAAATCTGTGTCCAGTTTTTAACACAGTCAGAAGCCAAAGTACCTAAAAACACCCAGTTTAAACGCAGCAGCATATTTAGGAAATTCTTACTCACCTTCAAAACTCAGTTAAGAGAGGGCTTTTTTGATACTGTTTTTAGGTAGTCTGTGTGGCTGTGCACAGGATTCCTGATGTTTAAAATCACAGCAGCTGTGACAAGGACAGTATTATCTCCAGGTCACCCCATTCTTAAAAGGAGTAAGATACCATTCTGACAGTTTTAAGTAGTCCCTCAAAATTTATGGGAATTTTTGCTTTTTTTTCTCATCAGAAGAGATATCAGTCATACTAAGAGGCCAAATCACTAATTTACCACTGTGATGGCACAAGCTGCCTTCCTGTTTCCAGGCTGAGAGAATTGGCAGTGGCTGCATCTCTGCTGTCATCACTGGAAACCTTCCCTTCTAAGCAGCAATGACACACATTCGCAGCACATGGCAATGATCCTACAGCTCCCAGGCAGAGGAAGAGGACTTGCCTCCAACATATTTTGAGTACTAAATGCACTCTAAAGAATTTAAAAGGGAAGGAAGGCACAGCAGTCATAATTTTGTAAGTCAATTCTCCTTTTACAGAGTTGCAAGTCAAACAAATTGGGAAGGGGCCAGTGAAATACAGTTACATCTTTAATAAATGGAGATAGCTGTCCCCTACTGAGTCACCTTCTGTTTGCACCTGAGCTGAATCATCTCCTGTGCATCTGTTTGTATTTTCTCCTGCCTAATGCAAACAGGAGTTGCATTTTCTCTCATGTTGCTGTGCAAAGGCACGCAAAAGCAAACAATGATACTCAAAATAGCACCGGGCTGTTACTGTCTCCAGCCAGATCCAGCTTTGCAGTGATCCCTCTAACAGGAGGTCTCTGTAAAATATTCCTGTGATGCTTCCTCCCAGCTACAGGGCATCATCTCGCCTGCCTGTGCAGACTGCAGACCCACTTCCAAGGGGAAGGGGAAGAGGGATGGGGTCACTGGTGCTCTGTTCTAAGGAATCAGTTTACAAGATGTGTCTCCTCTTAACGGAACTGGAACTCCCTGAGATGCAGAGCATTGGTATCTCTCACATTCGTGGCCCTGCCAAAATGCTTTCATGTCTTTGATCAGCCACAGTGCCCGAATGATGGTGGTAGTTTATACAAGTTATCCCATGCTGTGTTTATTATATTCAAGGGAAAAAACTGCCCACGGAGACCTCACAACAGCACTCACGAGCCCAAAATAATCATTGRTGCCACTTCACTGCAGTCAGTAATATAACATCACTGATGTATCTGGCCTGCTGTTTTTGGTGGAGAGATGTACTTTCACATGGCCCATAGGTCATGTCTGGAATGTCCTTAAAAATTGCAGAACATCATGGGCAAGCCACACTTGCAAAATTGACCTAATACTGTTTCTGGAGAGAAAATATTACTGCCAAACCGCTCCATAATACTCTTCAACAGATTAGTGATTGGAATAGACATTCCCTCATGTCAAGAAGGAAGGAGTGGTATACAGACACAAACGCTGCAAACTTCATAAGAACTTTTGTGGAGCATTTACAGCAGTTTAACCAACAGAACATGTTCAGAATCTGACTACTCATTTTTGCAAAGATTTACTGAATTTGCAACAAYGCTGGGTATTTTTCACTATGATGAAGCAAGCCTTTGACAGCAGTTTTAAGTTAGACCTTATAAGCCTTGTTACAAAAGTCTCCACAGGAGAAAGTAATAATTGATGAAGTATAAATCATTTTAAGCTGTACTGCAGCAGGCCCAGCAAACGAACCATAGGATGTCACTGATACAAATCAGGTAGTCACAGAAATGCAGCTATCTGCAGAAATGCTTAGGATTTGCTGTTTAGCTGTTGCTRTGCCTTTTCAGTGAGAGAAGATAGGCATGGAACAAGCCAAATGCCAACCAGGATGTTATCTTATTCACTGGATTTGTGAATGCTCTGTCCAATGTTTGTGTCCTCCCCTGGGGTCAAGGAGGGCCTGCGTGATAGATCAGTTGTGACCAGCCCTTGAACGGAAAGGAGCTGACTGGTTCAGGGTACTTTAGGAATGGGGTTTCCAAAGCAAGGCTCATCACAATGGAAGGCAATCTTCAAAACTGTCACAATCCTACGGTAATACCCTGCTGGCCAGGCAAACCCTTTCAGCTGTAGCACTTCTGATGGTAAACTGCCATAGGTGATCCACAGCATCACCTTGTTCAAGAGTGAGAACACTTGCACAGAAATGGCAAGGAAATGGTCAAAAACATTCTGTACCTTAAGAACTGTTACAACGAGTGGTACCTGCAAAGAGGTGGGTGCCACGCAGTTTCTGGGCTCTGTCATCCTGGTTTCAGGCTCCCACAGTCTGCACATGTGGGGGTCCTGCCCATAGAATGCTGACTGAACACTGATGGTTGAGTGCCGAGGGCAGTGCAGGCTCAGGTGCTGCCCGTCGCAGGCATAGGCGGTGTGATTCTGCAGGAGTTTCGTTAGGTAACCTAGAAAATATTCAGCTCTGTTACAACTAGCACAGGAAATGACAAGCTCGTTAGATAATAGGAAAACCACAATCAGGCTCCAGAAAGGGCATTGTAGTCAAGGTTATATGTCTGGCCCGCAGCCACCCAGTTCTCTGAATGGGTCACCCCTTCCGTGCCCGTAGCRCTCTGGGCTGCAAAACACGAGGTCTCTTGTAGGGAGTCGAGTCCTCCCGGCACTCGGCAGGACAAGTTGTACTGATGATAGGTGGGCTCAGGCCCTTGCCAGTTGTGGCTACTCATGATCCCAGGGCTTGTCTGCAGAAGTCAGAAGGCTATTACTTGGTTTTGTGGGCCAGGCGCTTTCATTCCAGCTGCCTAAGGTATTCCTTAAACCTCTTCTTAAACGGATGTGCTACAATTTTGGGCTTGTGGGCAGTTGTGTTTCACACTTTTAAGTATAGTGGAGAAAAAACTCACATTTTCTTGTGGGAACATCTTGTTCATCTTGGCTGAATCAGGGGCTTTTTGGTATCATTAAAAWAAGAATTCGTTTTCTCAAAGAAAAGATTGAGGAAGAATTCACTCTTTTAATTAATTAAAATGTGCCATTTAAATAAAATGGCACATTTCATTTTCACACTTCTGCCCTTCATAAACTTTATCCAAAGAACATGAGATTTTCAAAAAGGTTTTTGAATAGAAACTTTGTACTCCAAGCAAAAGATATGAAAATCATATAATCATAGAATGGTTTGGGTTGGAAAGGACCTTAAAGATCACCCAGTTCCAAACCCCCTGCCACCTTTCACTGCAACAGGTTGCTCAGAGCTCCATCCCATCTGGCCTTGAATACTTCCAGGGATGGGTCAAACATTTCAGTTCTCTGGCATCTTTTCCAGCTACAGCTGTGCATCTGGATAAGGAAAATCAGCTTCCATATAATGTATTAAGTCTGGAGGAAGGAGAAGCCTTCTCCACTGTCACCTTTGCTGTTCCCCATCCAGAGCCCAGGGGAGGACAAGAGCCAGGCAGATGTACCTTCCAGCACAGCAGAACTGTAGGTGAGTTCCCCACCTCACTGACCTCAGCCTGAGCACTGGCACTGGAACTGGGACAGAAAAAATTTCTTGCATTTTCAGTCTGGATCTCAAGGAACCCAGTCCAACAGCAATCCCCGCAGCTTCTCACGGGCTAAAAGGAATAATCAAACCCTCAACCAAATCCATCCCCTACATTTTCTGTGTAATTGAAATCACAAATAATTGAAGTTCCCTGCCAGAGCCCCTCCTGTGTCAGCCCGCTCCTGGGAGGTGGTGAGTGCTGCCAGGAAAATGGGCTGAGTGCCCAATGGCACCCAAGTGACTCCGCTATGGCCCAGGGCTGCAGAGGGGCCTCCTGTGGCATTTGCTGACYGCCTTTGGCATCACCATCGTGCCATAAATGGCCACAGTGTCAGAGTGTTCAGCCCTACATGAATTGTGGTTACTCAACACCCTCAAAGATACGACCCAGTATTTTTGATCATTTCAATTCTTCAGGTTTTAAGTTACTTGGGGCGAAGAGCACTGTATACAAAACAGTCCAGTATTCCCTAAAGAATATCAGCTATGCTGTGATTTGGATGAGTTCCCTGGCATCTTAACTGCTACTTTGATCCTTCAAATTCCTAATCCAGCATCTAAGCACCTTTCTCCAACAATTGCAACTATTCAATCCTTAAAAAAAAAAAAAAAGTCTTAGTAAAAATCTTGCTCTGATTCTGTAGGAACAGTATGGTTCACTTGTAAAAATGCCGTTAGGTGGACTGGTGAAAATAAGACATCTTGCTCTCCAACCTAAGTGGCTTAAACATGACTCTGCTGTTGCTAAAATTCTTGTGTATTTGCATACAATAAAGGATAAAAATGGATATTGCTGAAACTTAATGTTCTCTGATAAGAGGAGTGGTGATACAGTATCTAAATTACTCATCTCATGTGGCAGACCATGCAAACCTGCATTTTTCATTGCTGGACACACAGGCACACATGGAGCAGCCAGCCCTCGGCAGCTCACAGCCTATGCTGAGGAAGGATCCCCACTCCAAAAGTTACGATTTCCTCTTACCCTTCCCTGAAAAACTGCAGGTTCATTGCTGTCCTGATGCTGGCCCTCTCCTGGTGGCCGGGCACTGCGGCTGCTGCTTCTCCTTTCCTGGGCAGCGTGGCCTTGTAGTTACCCTGGGAGAAGCTTCACCTTCTTGAGCCCATAAGTATCCCTATATTGTGTAATGAATTCTGTCCAGAAACATTTTCCCTGAGGGACCAAATTCAGGCAAACAACAGTGTGAAGTTGGGGGAAATCTGGTGTGAWCTCTACAGCTGATAACAGCCGTAGTGTACAGGAGTGAGGGCACTGTGAGGGTTTGACTCTTCCTGGGGCAGCTTCGTGTCCTCTCCTTCTGTATGTATTTCATCAATATCTGTTAATAGTGAATTTGGGGAAAACTTTTTTTTTACTATCCAAATATGGGAAATAGAAGCTGCTCCTGGACTACGGCAGACCTGCAAGTTTTGGTCCTCTGCATGTCAGGGAAGTCTTCATGGGCTCCCTGATGGCCAAAGAGATTCCTTTTCCTGGAAGAGCAGGGCAAAGGAAAGGCTGGAGCACAACCAGCATGGATGGAGTGAGCTCTGTGTGCACTTGAGCTGCAAAATCAGAAGACTTGTGAATTATGGGCTTTCTTACCCTGATCAAGGAGAATCATAACCAGACTCTATAAAAAACCTTAGATGACTTAATGTTTTAGGCTGAATATTGGGGTTTTTTTCTCATTGTTTTCTGGCTTGGGTAATAGAGGGGGAGATGATGTGCAGCTGCAGCAGTCACTTTTCTAAGTGTTATTCTGCAATGAGGAGGGCTATAATGTTCCTCTTTTTTTCAGAAACAATATCATCACTCTTTAAAACAATATAATACTTTATACAAGAAGAAGTTAACTACCATGAGAATTGTCTAAATTAGAAAACTTCGACAATACTGCAGTGTCCCAATAACTTCTCTATATCTCTGTGTGAAAGCCCCAGTAGGCACTTTCCCATTTTCCAGGGCACACATTCATAAGCAGTGTATGGAGTGCTCCGCATATGGAATCATGTACGAGACATTAGAAACTGGCTTGGAAATTAAGCCTAAAGCACACAGGAACAAAAAGATCCCATTGATCTGAAGGCCAGAAGGTATCATCCCACCCAGCTGTCTGCMTAACCCAGACTACTCACTCATTGTAATCTTTTACTGAGGCTCAAAACACCAATGTAGAATCCAAGCGTAATCCTTTCTTCCAGAATTAGCCAAATTAGTCACAGCATCCACTGTGCTGACAAAGAACTTCAACTAAAAAAAAAGCAGCACCAGAGAACCACACAAAACACTGAGGCTGAGCAGCTGAACGAAGCCTTAAGCCTTACTGATCACTTCTTGCTGCAAAGAATGACTGATRAACAATTTTTAGAAAAGACTGACAAAAATAACTGCCATAGGAGAATAAATAGATACCTCTTTGTGTGAAAAAAGTAGCTCTTGAGAGGTTATAGCTTCTCATACTCATCACTTTCTTCTGGCATTACCACTTTGAATAGCAACAATAAAGGTAGCAGTGGAGCAGAATGTATGGAAATCCAGAAAGRATTTTTTCCACTTAAAAGCACTGAAAATCTGGTAACTTAGGAAGTTCTGTGTGTGATAAGTCCAGCTTCTCTATACTGGCATGAGTTCCCCAGATGAAAGGAAGGATTGAGAAAAGCATTTTAGGCTGTGAGGCAAAGCCCAGCACACACTAAAAGCAATCTCAGCATTGGCTCAGGTAATGTCTTTTGGGTAAGAGAGCAGATTTGCAGTGCAGTATTTTTAGAGACTGAGGCTGATTAGTCCAGAAGCTATGAGGGTTCTCAGAATTGGGTCTTCATACACAGATTTAGTAGCATCAGTTCCTGTGCATCGTTCAGTTTAGCTTAATTAGCACAGAAATTTGCTAGCTCATTTTTAAGGCATACCAATCTATTCTAGATCAAAATAGATCGAAATAGCACACATATTGTTGTGGGAGTCCCAGAAGCCTAAAACATCCGGTAAATCCCCATCAGCTCCCACAGTTCTGTGAAGAACTGTGCCAACACTCATTAAAAATACACAAGCCAGACTGGTGAGTTTGAAGGAAGAGATTTCATGCAGTGATAACAAAATTGCAAATAGACTCTACTACAAACACCATTAGAAGCACCACTGACAATGATTGGTGGTTGGGATCCAGCCACAGTATTTCTCCAGCAATATTTTCTCCGTTGGTTTGTGAAGGAAGCATTGCAGAGAAATTAACTCCTGAGTTTYACCCCCCATCCCCTCTGCCATACCTCTGCTGGTCTCCAGAGGCAGCTACGCCACAGATCATGCTGTGTGCCAGGGTTACTCTGTCCACAGGGACAAGCATCAGCTCTCGGCATTCCCTTTCACYTTGGCTGTGTGCAAGTGTGGCAGCTCTTTTTATTTATGGTTAATAATCGAGGAGGGCAAAATGTTACCAAGGAAAGACATTGTTTCTAAAATTCATGGCACAATGTTTCTTG